TAGAAACACTAAGACAAAAACTAAGAACAATGCTCAATGTTTCTGCAATCTTCATAATCTTTGCCATAAGCCATCATCATTCATATACAGGTGTTCTTTATATATGCCAAAGTATATTAAAAGCAATTAATATTGGCCTTTAATTTGATGAGAGTTATATGTTTTGCCCGAATGACACATGGATTTTTGTTCAATTGCCCGACCGTAAAAATTGTGGGGACCTGTAAAAAATAAACCTCTGGTTGAAAGTGGCAATTGATTCATCGAGCCGCGCCAATCAGTTTGAATTAGGGTCAGATCCTGACTCTGTCTCCTGATTGGATGATTGTATTAAAGCTCTCTGACTGATTCAAATAAAACATCCATAACCAGTCAGAGAACTTTAATACAATCATCCAATCAGGAGACAGAGTCAGGATCTGACCCTAATTTAAACTGATTGGCGCGGCTCGATGAATCAATTGCCGCTTTCAACCAGAGGTTTATTTTAAACTTCTGGAACCAGGGTAGCCATTATGAAGCGATTTGAACAAATTTCAGACGAAGATTTAAGTAAAAAATAAATGAACTGTTTTTAATTGTTTAATAATTATTATTTTTTTATTTTGTTTGATAAAAATGGAATATTCTGTATTCAAAGTGGAGGAGAAGAAAGATGGCCGCCGAAATTTGTTTGGCACGGGCAGGTTAATTAATCTCGCCAATGTTTTCGCAGAATGTGTGCATTTTCTCTTTTCAAGAATAAGGGAATATTGTAGAGAATTTTTTAGCTTCAATTTAAGCCTAAGTTTGTTTGTTTGCGTAGTATGTTGGCGGCTAAAATGTTCGTTATCCAAACAAGAAACTATATACTAAAATTGGTAAAACGCGTATAAAATTCTTCGGTACTTTTTAGTATTTTACCAAAATGGCATGTGATAAAAACCAAACATACTTGCAGGTTCGGTGAGTCCGGGATTGGACGCACCGAGGGTGGCTGGAAGTTTCCCGAACTCACCGAGCGGAGGTGAGTTCGGGAAACTTCCAGCCACCCTGGGTGCGTCCAATCCCGGACTCACCGAACCTGCAAGTATGTTTGTTATAAAATCACATGACCGGTGTTTCAACCCTTCTACGGTATATATTACTTTATCTATTATTAATTATGCTATTACCTCATACTCATACGCGCCCGCATTACTTACCTGTTGAGGATTCTACGGTATATAGTACTTCATATAGATATTTTTTGCTCATTCTCTATTCATAATATATTCATTGGTGTTGTTGCGAAGAATTTATGCAAATCTTTTAAAGTAATATTTTGCACCTATTTTGCACTCAGTAATATTGAGCCCCCTGTGGTCTGTGGTCACGAGTGAAATTTTACTAGTGCATGCGCTGGGCTTTAGGATTACAAACATGACAAACAAATGTGGGCATAGTAGGGTTGTAAGTACATGTAAATGTGTTAGTAATATAATCTAAAAGTGCATACATGCAACAAATCTAGCCTAGTTTTCAATGAATGTCGGCACTTGGATAGATAAACTGGGTGAAGCATGTTTTTAGAAAAGGATTACTAGTAATCATAATTAATTAACGCGCAGGTATTTAGTAAATTATATAATTTATATTATTGTTCTTCCGTTTGGTCGAACACTTCCGAATGATTCTAATATTAAGAAGTTTCGAAGTATTCAGAATTTCGACGCCCGTGTTGTCACAAATAGCTACTTGAAAATATGATCACTTAACGCCAGCTTTGAAGAGCTTGAATTGGACAACCGTCAAAGAGGGTCCTGAAGGGGTAAAATGGGAACTGGGATTGATCTATTTTTAGACTGGGAAAATGGAATTTGGGTTGCTGGGACTGGGATTTGGCCACTGGGAACGGGAAATGAGGTCCTCAAAAACAAGTGGGAATGGGATTGAGGTAATATGCGAGTCGATTCCCAATTTTTCCACGTTTTAAGTATTTTAAAATACAATTTCGACCCGTTTTTGGTGTCTTTGGTCATGATTTTTGTTGCTAACTATATTATTCACAGCACAACCTGCGAACAGGCATACTCTGGCGCACGGAATTCTGGGTTTTCTGATTATGCGTGCCCCCAAGTCAGATGCACAGCGGAATATATGCCTGGTTTCATTTAGCCCTTAGTATATACCTCAAAGGCAAAGCACAAGAAAAAATACCGTCATGTCGGACATGTCGGAAACAAGTTACTTAACCGAAGTGGTCCGAAGTAAATCCCATGTCCTCGACCTGCAGTAACTTGCAGTAAGTTACACTCAGTGGCAAGATGTCGCGCATTAACCGCTTCTGCCATGCACACGGTGCGCTAAAACTGTTTATTCTACTCATAAATAATTTTTTTTATTGACTGGCATTTCAATAACTGGGACTGGGATTTCTAATAAAAATCCAACTGGGACTGTATCAGATTGCATGATATGTCCAATGATGATGTTCAACCTCGCAAGCAAGGGCCTCCACACCCGCGGCGGGACGGAGACCCTTGTAAAGGCTGGTCACGTGACCTCCCAGATTCTGGGGGGTAAATCAAATTATACTGCATGAGGGAGGGGTGGTTGAGGAGCGGGTCTGTAAATTTCTCATATTTGGGGAATATGAGAAATTTACAGACCCGCTCCTCAACCACCCCTCCCTCAGTATAATTTGATTTACCTCCCAGAATCTGGGAGGTCACGTGACCAGCCTTTACAAGGGTCTCCGTCCCGCCGCGGGTGTGGAGGCCCTTGCTTGAGAGGTTGTAATGATGTTTTGAGAGATACGGCAAACTTGAAAATTCGAAACTTTGATTTCCTAGGTCTCTTAGAAACTTTTGACCCATTTTATGTCCAAACCGTTGAAAGTTTAATTCTAATACTATATCCTTTTTCCAGTAAAATCCTTACAGTACGGTGTATAAATCTTTTAAGTGATATCTCGAAATGTTGTATCGGTATAGTAGTTCAAAAAACGTCCTATGTTTTCAAAAGGCTCCTAGCTCTAGTTTCAAAAAATCTCGGTACACTTTCCGAAAGAGTTGTATTTCAAAAAACTTCCTTGTAGGTCCACACACATGGCGTTTTGTTTCTCTGAAATTATTCAGAATTTTCTGCCATTGTCCTAATTTTGTTGAACAAAATTTCATGTACAGTACACACATTCTGTATATATACATATGCATACTTCATCAGAATATGCATGGTCACCTGAACTACGAAAAGCTGGGAAATGACAGTAACCTACACAAATTTAGGATTACCTGATTTGGTGAATTTTGGTTTGACGCAGGACTTTCGATGCTGGCACTACTTGGAGAAGTACTAACTGCAGGAGAAATAACACGTATTTCATCGCTACCTTCATCCGCGCAATCGATCCTCATTTCTTTACGACTTGTTACATAATCGGAACAGCTCGTCACAGGAACTATTTTTTGTCGTTTCTCAGTGTCAATGATACTAGCAGCTAAGCTTTCGTTACTGTTACGCTGTGTATCCCTTCGTTCGCTCCATAAAAGACCATCGTTTCTTGTAAATTCCATGAGGTTAGCAATATTACCGACATCTTTTTCCAAGATTGTTGGCCTGGGAGTAGAATATGGTTTTGCCCGCCGTAGTTGAGCGTCTGGTTTCGGAGAAATATACGTACTGACATCCTTGTGATGACAAATGGGTGATATTGTATCCAATCTTCTTTCCTTTGATGTGCCTGAAGAAATGCAGCAACAGTATGCAAATTCAGTATTCGAATAAATCCCATTTATTATAGATCTAAAGTTACAGCGGGAATACTAAACGACCGGCTGACTCTACTGCTATACGTTTTCAGTAAATCCACTAGTTTCATCCTAAATTAAACTAGACTGTACGCCATTTAGTGGACGCCTGCCATTTAAAATTCTAGTCTTATACTTATGCATAACTCTGGTCTCGTTCATGGAGAGCTAACAAAATATCGTGGACAATTGAGCTGCTTGACATGCAAATGAACATTCTAAAATTGCCAGCCAAGAAACCAAAGGTAACTAAAAGTGGAAAATAGGGGTGAATATATGATTGCTTTGGAAAGTAGATGGGAAAAAGTAACTTCAATCCCAGGAATCCCATCCCCGCCCAATTGAAAAACACAGTCACACACAGCAAACAAACCTATGAAGAAACCTCAGCGGTTAGATTCTGTTCAGGTAGTCAGATCTTCAACCAAAATTATTAATAGAGAGATTAAGCAAGTGACGTTTTTGGACAACATGGACGCAGAATAGAGACGTTTACAGAAGGCTAACCCAGCTGCTAAGAAACGTAACTGCCTCCACGCCATGATTCACAATGATTCCTTATTCAAAATGCACTCGCCATCTTCCTAGCCAGTGCGCTTACGAGAGGCATTACGATCTCCTGACAGTGAGCTCTATATATATCTGGAGTGAGAACTTCAGTCATTCAGTCAATGAGAAAAGTGAAGCCAAGATGGCGGCCATTGACGTCCAATAGCTCTGAAGGTCGTAAACAGTTTTTATACCACTTTCCCCAGCTAATTCCAGTTTTTTCTAATGGACCGTATCACTAATCAAGTTTTCAGTTCATAAAATCACAATATTATTCTTTAAATCGAAGTCAAAATACGAAATTTCTACACACTCTTTGCCAAGATGGAGGAAATTGAAGGAGCTCTTGGACGTCAGTTCCAGTCCCTTTCTATTGTTTTTGTATGCGCGGTTAACACGAAACTGGCTTCACTTTGAGCAACCAAGTTCCTACTCCAGATATATATATGGAGCTCACTGCCCCCTGAACGTCCACCATGTTGAATATTTTCAGGAAGTGAATGCTCTCGTTAGCGCAATGGCTAGGAACATGGCGTTCGGTCTCGCCCAATATTGAAGTCTTGAGCAGCATTGCAACTGGTACGACAAAATCAAAGGCAAAAGTAGGAAGTCGGCCTTCTGTAAGGGTCTCTATTTTGTGAGATGGATGTCGCCCACACGGACGTCAACCTTCCTACACTGGAACCCAATATTCTAATGTAGCTTTTGATAGTTGTTCATTAATTAAAAACTCATGGCAAAATCTTACCATGTAGGGCATGCAGGATAATGTCATATTCTCGTTCAATTAAAATTGTCTCATCTTGTGTTATAATACAGGCCAAAGCTGAAGAATGTTGTCGTTGCTTCAAGCCAATAATTTGACCATGTCCGCCAACTGATCCATACAACATTTTTGCCAAGCCAAATGTTGTTCCCTGTTCCACACTTATGACTGGAATGTCAGAGTGGTATAGGACAACCTAAACGAAGGTTAAACGCAGCTCAGAATTTGGAAATGCAAATGAAATACAGATTCAAATAGTTCACTCATTTTCCAGTTTTAGTATACTAGCTCAAGCAAGAACTAAAATCTCAAAATCAACACGAATACCTGGACTTTTATACAAAACAAATTTTGGAACGGTAGAAATGTTTTAAAGTGGGTTTTTTTATGTTGAAGAATGCGGTGCTTTATTCGTAATGTCCAAGTTTTTATCATTTTCCACGATATCAAACGGAAACTCTGCAATTTGCGCCACAAATAATTAAAAATGTATATAGTAATGACTGTTGATAAAACTAACCATTTACAAAGCAAATTACCATCATTCGTCCAAAAAAAATTATAAAAAGTCGCAGTGGTCTTATCTCGCAGACTTCGACTGAAAAGCCACCCAAAAATGGCGGACTGAGAAAGGCTAATTGTATAGCCAAAAGGTGAACAATATATTTTCTTGGTTTTACATCTGAGTAGAACTCAAATTTGCCCCCATTAGCAAGATTCAATTTGTCCCTTTCGTTTGCGTGAACGTTTCCCGCAATGCCCACTCTGGCTTTTAAAATCTATCTGTATATAGTTAATGTTTCTTCAGTTGCAGTGTATTGTCCAGGAAGTATATCACTATCAGAATTATTGTCAACTTCGTCCGTTAATAGGGTAGTACTCCAGGATTCTAATCTTAACTCTTAGGGTCATTGACCTTGCAGCTAATGCCAAAATAGTCGACAGAAACAATCGCAAAAACCTTAAGATCTTAGAATCCTGCCATACTGCCCTAACGGATGAAGCTAATAATATTAATTCTAATGTACTTCCTGGACAATACACTATACTTTTAAGAAAGGAACTCAAGAAACATAAAGGTCGTTTTGCACTTCGCCCATATCGTACCGTAACGTACTGGTGAGCATGCGCAGCTTGACGATGGGTTTTCAAATTACGTACTTCCGGTTGATTCGCGTATCAAAATAAAAACTTCGTCGCAAGTCAACTTTTGAGCGTACTACGGAAGTACTAACCAATCAGCAATCACTAAATTTTGAAATTTAAAATTTGTTTTGATACGTGTCGGTACGTTACGCTTGAAGTGGAAAACGGCCTTAATTATATATTCATATTTCCTTAATTGTATTATATATAGCATATATCATAGTTTCCGATTTCATGCTACTTATAGTACTTAAGTTTTAGCGTCCTACCATCTAAGGCTATTTAACAATTGTCTGTGAACGAATAGTCCACGGGATATTGTTCCTGAGTGATTGCTAGGCCTGTGTTAGACGACTTATAGACGCCGAGTTTCCGTCGAATTTAATTCGTTGGAAACTGAAATCTGAATGCTTCTGAATTTCACTTGTCGTGATTTTGGAGTCATTTTCTGTCAATCATGCGACGAAAACCGTTGAATTCCTCGATAACGTTTTGCACGTAATGTGTTGCTTCGAATAGCACTATTTAATTTGAAACGTCGACCACTTCTCTGGAATAATAAATTCATCAGCATTAATTAATTGATACAATACATTAAAAAAACAAATTCCGTATATCCAATGCATCTTTCATGGTAATCGTTTTCTTTGATTCCGGGTTGCTTCAACAACATGGAAAAGTGTTATTTTCTATAAACCACATGCATACTTATGAACAATTCGCTTTCGTTAGTAGAGATGCAACCACCTAAAGATATATGAGGAGAATTTCGACGTTTCGAGCGAAGGCCCTTCGTCTGGAGACGGGACGTAATATTATCATAGATATCTTATATACACTAAATAGTGCATCTAATTATTCTGCAATTCAAAAATTGAAGCCGTGATTGCAGACTCAGGATATTCCCATGAAATGAGAAGACTCGCATGTTTTTTCAATTTCTTAAACAGGGAACTTAAACATTAAGTTAAACCTATTCCAAATACATTTTCAAACTATTCAAATGATGAAAGTTATTGTTGTTTTTTAAGCGTTTATTAGCGAGTGGGAAACTCCAACATGGCCGCCATCTATTGAAATGAGGGTAACCGCTGGAATATTCTTTGCTTCAATTTTAGAGATGCGCTATCTAGTTTATATAAGATATCTATGAATATTATAGCTCATATCCATAGCCATAGGCAGACCACGGTTAGGGCAGACGAAGGGCCTTCGCTCGAAACGTCGAAATTCTCCTTATATATTTTCAGCTAGTACTAGTTGCATCTCTACCAACGAAAACTTGTTCATTTTATTGGCACTATCTACACTGGCAAATACAGCTCAAGACTACTTGCATACTTAGTTCGTTTGCATATGATAAGGTTGCCGTGACTACCCTGTCAACATAGTCATAGCCGTACGTTCAGAAAAAAATTAGGCGCGTGGACAAAAATTTGATACAGAAGAGAATTTATAGTGTAGAATTGAAGGCAAACTTTCATTTCTCTTACTAATCAACATTAATATCACGACAAGATACTTTAATTTTCCGATTTTTAAGTAGAATCTGCCTGACTAAACAACTGACTGGGAGGGGGAGGGGAGGGGGGAGACTAACTCTCGTACGCCTATGCGTGTCTGCTATAATAATTTATATTTTCCTTATGTCATTCAATTCATCCATTTCACTGGCATGACTGGTAAACACTGATGCATTTCCATGGATGTTGCCTTGGACCAGCCTAATTTAATTTATGTACTGTATATACTTTAGCTAATCGTTTTATTAGAAACGCAACTTGATATTATAGATGCATACATTATTAATAGTTTAAAATTAAATTGATTGAATATTTTTATTTGTTAATTAAACTTTATACAAAACTACGATTGTTAGTTACACAATACTCAATAAACATATTGAGAATTGTGATTTATTTTATTATCTATTTCTTCCCAACATATATACTTTTAAAACATTTCCAAAGTGAAATATTTATCTCAATAAAATGTTATAACATCCTGCCCGTTAGAACATCCGGCCTCCCACGCATAGCCACATTATTATCACGGAAAAAATTTCATTATTCCAACAAAAATCTCCAATTCTTACACCGTTTGCTTTTAATTGTAACAATTTCTTGGCTTACTTCGTTCGAAATGAAACATCATTTGTTCTATTAAAACTTTTTACAAAACGAATGAGCGAAATTCGCCTTGCCGCATGAGCTTTGGCGAAAAACAAAGCGGACAAAGCAAGACGGTAAATAGCTGCGACTAAGCGCGGATCAATGAAATCTTACTTCTTGATTCTTAAAAGCAACTCTTTACTCTAATAAACGACAATTAGACTGTTACTGTTAGGACTGTCTGATTAATAAAAAGATATGTAGAACTTAAAATATTGAAAAGGAAACACGGCATACCGCTCTAATAAATTCATCAAGGAAGTAACGAGAAACACGGCGGAACGTTTCCATGAATGTAGCCAGTACAGATAGTATGATTCGCCTTGCATTTGTTAATATTATAGCACATAGGCAGTATAGTTCCTCTTTGAATTTATTTACACCGAGTTAAAACACTGCCAGTCTGCATAAACACGCGCAATACATTAAAATTCAAAACCACTAAAATCCTGCATGAACCGCCATAGCAAACCATGTAGCATATTAAAAATATTGACCGCAGATAATATTGAGCAAAGCTGGGAAGATTTTGTGTCTGCAGTGCAAAAGAAATAAAGCTGATAGACTTACGTACATTTGGACAGCCTGGGCTGCCATGATTGCAATCCTGTCTTTTATGCAATGTTGTAAGCATTTCTCACGGTCATATGCTCAGCCACTAGTCTTCTATTAATAATCTGTTAAAATTGATATATTCTGACTGGATGTGAAATAGACCAAATCGTACAAAGTGGCCGCCACTTTAATTTTACTACCAGATGTACTCTTCGACTAGAGGGCACTCCGAGACTGCATACCTCATGATGTATCATGCATAAATTATACAATGTGCTAATCGGCGGAACAGTCGTCATTTTTTGGCGCCGGGGGGGGGGATTCCATTCTTGAAATTGTCGTGTAACATTTTTTCTTGGTCATTAAACTTTCCCGGAATTCTTGCCGACGAGGGAGGGGGAAATTTTCTTGATGTTTTACTCACGTACCCCTACTGCTTCTCTTTAATTAATTCTTTACTCAATATTACTCTAAATTTTCCCATTTTAAATTTTAGTAGGATTTTCCCGATTTTTAATTGCAATCTTCAAACGACTGCATTGATCTTGTAGAGAATTTAAATCTCATACCTCTTAAATCTTGATCTTGATACTATAAGTTTTCACTCATTTACACGTACGCTCATCATGAAACCAGCTGACAGTTGTTGAGGCGAGGTATGTCCAGTATAGGCATCGGACGTCGGATGGTGACGATCCGTAAGTGTGATTACAGATGGATAGGCACTTAAGTATAACATGGCACAGTATGTACCATCTGTAGTCAGATGGTGACGATCCGTGAGTTTCAATAAAGATGGATAGGCACTTAAGTAACTACATAAAATGTCACGAAATGTACCATCTGTAGTCAGATGGTAACGATCCATTGTTGTGATCATGTTATTGTCTGATGTAAAAGGGAGGGTTAATTAACGCACATGCCGCACGACCATCTGTATTCAAAGCTGATGTAAGAAAAATAGATCTTTAGTCAATATAGTGTTTCTTAAAGAACGAGGGATAGTTGTAATCATGTTAATGTCTGATGTAATCAAAATGTATGTTTAGTCAATATAGTGTTTCTTAAAGAACGAGGGATCGTATCGGTAGTGTTTCTTAAAGAACGAGGGATCGTATGTAGTGTTTCTTAAAGAACGAGGGATCGTATGTAGTGTTTCTTAAAGAACGAGGGATAGTTGTAATCATGTTAATGTCTGATGTAAAAGGGAGGGTTTACGCATATGTCGCACGACCATCTGTATTGAAAGTTACGGCCCGTAACGATTCGATAATAGATGCCTATACTGGACATATATGGAAGGCTGAGGAAGGCTGAGGTAGCGTGTTAAAACCACTGAGCTTTACTAAAGTATAGCTCAGTAGTTAAAACATAGACAATCCGGAAGGCTAGAGGGCTATGGCAGATGTCTCCTGGATTGCCTATGGTTAAAACTAGGAATATTTAACACTACATCTCACCGTTATAGCGCGGTTAACGTTTGATGAACCTCCGCAATATATGTTCGCTGTTCGCACGTGATCAGTGTTTGCATATTGCATATTGCTGAATTCCTTTGAAATTCCGTTAAATGACGTCATTTCCTTTTCATTACTGATACTACTTGCGGTAATTACCCACAGATCCTATGCGGCCTTAGGCTGAGAAAACTGAGATTTTTTCCAAAACGAAACCTTATACGAACATATGCTCATACAGTATATATACGCGCGGGAACTTCAATATATGCCTGATCCATAAAGTCTATATGTATTGATGTATGTGTGTATGTATGTATATAATCTACGGTGGCTCAGAAGGGCCATCTCTCCCTCTTTTTTTTCCAGCCGCGCTTTGATCGAATTATCACGCCACTTATCAGCCGTCCTTCCAGTTTTGAGCCGCGCACTTAAACCGCGCAGTTTTGAGTCACGCCACTTATGGCGCGCAGGGATATTTTCAAGCACTTTTCTACTACCGGTATACGGTAGTGAATACTCAATCTTCAATTGAGTTTTGAAACTCAATCTTCTTCCACAATGATTTTTTTTTCGCAATTTGATTTTTTTTAATGTAAATGTTCCATTAAAAACCTGTTTTTCTATATACTTTTGTTCAAAAAGCTGTCGAAACTATCTCACTGAGACACAAAATCTCGTGGAGGAATACTCATACCCATGCACACTAGAAATGTGTACCACAAGCAGGGCCGCACATTATCTATTTTGAGAAATAGTAAAAAAGTCTGTCCCAAATGAACCAATTGTCGGTCCCGATCATCCGGTGCAAACATTACGCAAAATTTTTGTTTCTGTGAGATTTATTTTTTGGAAAGTGTCCAAAAAATAATAAGTAAGGTTACAGAATTGCTAATTGCCACTATATACTGCCTGAATCAACTTCCTTTCTGTGCTCTACAGCTAGCTGATGACCAAACTAGACTTTGAAAATGCCATTTCCAACGATCTAGAGACTTCAAAGTTTCAACATTTTCCGGCTCGGCGCCAATCATGGTGGCACCTTGTGCAATCCCACTTCCAAATTGTAAACACGTAAAAAGTTGTTCTCGAAATATGTTACACCCCTCCAAAATATTTTGGAATGTGCGTCCCTGAATACAAATTTTTTTAACGTCCTCAC